ACAAACACACAATACTTACTCGTTCAATAGCCATCATTAATCCTTTTTGTGAAGTATCGGATAAAGATTGAATTCTTTCAATATAGACGGCATTATTTTGACTTTGCACGGCCAGTGTCAAAACTATAGAGCATAATTTAACTAGTTCGTTAATATCTGATTCTTTAGCAATCGTGTTTAGATTAGGCGCGTCGATGTTCTTGGGGTCATAACCAAAGACCTCTTCATAATATCGTTGGATGAGAGCATATAATCTTTTAAGTTTGTTGAACTTAAGAACCCAATTATCTTTATCTTCGCGAGTATCTCCACGAAGAGTTTTGAACCATCGTGGATCACTGTTTTTACACATCAAGTAGAAAATGGAAATATCTATGAATCGAAATTGCTATAAAAATTTACATGATTTTTCAAGGAGCAAAAAAACTCACACATCATAAGCGATTTCTATCAATACTCCGCCATCTGCAAGGTCTTTGTAGTTAGTGACTGTTCTCGATATATTCTCGAAGGTATTTACCTGTGTTTTCAAATTTAAATTTAAAAATGTCACTTAGTTCGTACTGTATATTACTTGTTATGTAATTAATATGCCAAAAAGGCAATCGTTCCAATATGCGGTATTTCTCCCGTAAAAGACTATAGGAACGATTAAGTCAAACTAACAAAGAAAGGCAGTAGACTTACCCACTCAATAAAGGCTACCAACTCTTCCTCTTGAGCCTTGGACATAGAAGCGACGAATGATTTACTTTTATGTGTTTATTATGTGTAATAAAAACTAAAAGAGCGTGGACTATTATTTCTTTTAAGATCTTTAAGAGTGAAAGAGAATTCAGTGTTTATGAACAAGCGAATTTATTAAGGGGACACAAGACTAATGCAAATAAGAAGTACAACTGCTGGTCTGCCTTGAATTTAAGTACTCGATCCGATGCAGTATTGATAATTAAAATAGGTTCACAAGACTGTCACATATAATACATTTTAAACTTGGTTTTCCAATATTAGGCAAACCTATCAATAATTATTTATTTCTTTAATACAGTGAGCGTTCGTTACAGTAACACGCTTTATGATAACATTTCGTTATAATAACACAAAATCTCTTCCCCAGATCTCATCACTGTAATAAGCTTTCATAGTATTTATTTTTTTCGATAGAGTAACATCTCGATATAATAACACCAAATCTCTTCCCCGATCACGTTATTGTAACCAGCGCCCACTGTAACTCTATTCAAACTGACTTCACTGAGACAATCATTGTAGTGCTGAAAGATTCTGCAAATCCAAGAGATCTCAAAGATGTAAAGATCCATCCTAGTACCGTATTTTACCGTGTAAAAATACCCGTAGGGTACGATGAGGTCCGGAATCAATCATTTTGTTCTATTTCGTTTAGTTTCGTCAATATAATAGCATTGATAATAATAATCTATCTAATTGATAAATGGCTAAACTCTCAAATTAAACGAATATATATTTGCATTTGTTGACGAAGATCATCAATTTCGGCCTTCAAAACAAGGCATATCTGCCACGTTTGATTGAGTTATACGTGACAAGTTTACTTCCAACTCTTTTATTTGTCGCTTTAATATATTCTTCTCGTCTTGTATACGATAAGCAAAACATGTTATGGAAAGTTTTAAATAATTGAAAAAATAATAAAAAGTTACTTATATATTGATTACGAAGTTGTTGATTCTTTGTCTTCAAAGCTTGATTCGCTTTTTCTAGAGCTCGCTTGTCACTGTGGGCTTTTTCAAGCGCCTTATCAAATGCCTTATTTGTCAGTCGCAAGTTTCCACTTATAAATTCGAAATTCAAATATTATATTTATAAAATGACCAAGTTAATATTAATAACATATGGGGGTGAGTCAACAGAAACCAAGCAAATTATATATGTATTACATATATAATTTGCTTGGTTTCTGTTGACTCACCCCCATATAAAACATATTAATTAACACATGAACATAAGATTGCGTGATTGTCTTAAAATGAAAGTAACACAAATTTAATTATAATCACGATAATACTTTCTAATTAGAAATCGAAAATATACAAGATTAATTATACGTAATAATACTTCTTCCGCTATAATTCAGAAATACAATGTTTCTCTAATATAAATGAATATAGTATTCATGTGAAATTATCTTTTTTAATAATCCATCACAATACTCATACCCGCCATAATATCATATTTACTTTACTTTATAAAATTAATACAAATACAATCTCTTTTTTTAAAACTTATGCTTTTTTAAATAAATTTGAAAAATATAAGTAACTATTATAATACTTTCTTATTGTAAGGAGATATAACTATTTTATCATTATTTATTATTAGGAATTGTAATTCTTAAATTATTACATTATAATCCGTTATACAGCCAAATTTTTATATTTCATTCAATTATATTATTTGATAGTGCCATTGAGTAGAAATATCAGCACTTGATGTAATCTCTTTCCATGTCAATGCAAGTTTGAATAAAATTTAATGGTCTAAAATTTTGTAACTTGAACATTTTTTAACTAAAAAAAAAAAAACTAGAAATCGCAATAATTCGATAAATATTATAATGAAATTACTAACAAATGTTCGTCTTATTGAGACGAATTTAATAAGACCAAAGTTATAAAATTCTAATCACTGGTTATTGAGAAAATAAGTTTTTTAAAATTTTACAAACCTGCAATCGAGAAAATGACTTGCCCCTATTAGATTTTCATAAATTCATCACATTTTTAATTTTTTTTAATTGTTATTACAAGTATCTTGCTAGAAATCTAGCATTTTATTTATATATTTTGATTCTATAAAGATGCTAGTATTATAGTAAACTTTACATAACAATCTCACCGCCATTACTTTCCGCCAAAATTGTAATTATTTGTAATTAATTTTTTATTCATTATTAAAGTTTTTCATAAACTAACTTCAAAACTGAAAATTCTATTTATTAAGGCGAAAAAATTTGCATATAGGAAAAACAAACTACATGTACATGTACTAAAGTTAATTGCTAATTGGGGGCTTTTTGCTATCTCTTTCACACTGGTTTTTCTTTATTAGATTTCATGTGTTTCTGTGTGAAGTGTATATTTAAATAAACACAAAAAAATGATTTTTACCGTTAGCGTTAGCGATTGGTTATTTCTAATTTGAACACGTGAAAGTTGCATCATTACACATCTACGTAGTCTGAAGTTTGTTGAAAAAGCCATTTATCACTATATTAGGAAATCATGATAAATTTTCTTTTGTAAAAAATTTTCATTTAAACAACTGCCTCCTCGCCACTTGTTGTTTTCGAATTAAATAAAATATCCCAATATTGAATATTGATATTTGAAATGGCAGAGTACGGAATTTTGAATTATTTTTTAATAACTTTATAAAACTAATTCTTTTTTTGCATTACGTATCAATAAAGCTATTTAAAGAAAACTCTTTGGTATGTTTTTATATTTGATTCTTTTATATTTATCATACGAATTTTTAATCAATAATATCATATTATAGGTCGAAACAGGCAAGACAGTCGAACAATCTAATATCCTCAACGCCTTCATCACAAACATCAATATCACAACTTGCACCTTTGTCTTCATCCATAACCATTGAAATCAAAAATTTGTCATTAAATTCAGCAAGCGAAACATCACTGTGAATAATTTTTTCGAATTAAATTAATTTTTTCTATTTAATTCTACGCGAAAATTTTAATTTACCATCCATCACCAACAGCAACCAAATTGATACTCAATCCACAAATAGTTTTGGTTATAAAATAAGAGAAACGAGAGAAGTTGGACCAAACGTGCTCTACAAGGTGTATTTTAAAAAAGGCAAGTACTGACTGATTATATCTGTTTCGTGACTTTTAATGAATATTCTATCTAAGTTCTCATCTTATTAGATAATAAATGGAATCAGGATTGGGAATGGGTTAGAAAAGAAGATTTGCCCGATCCAAGATATCAACTTCCTGACGATGTTAGTTTTTTAATGTTTGCTTTTTTCATTCCTACCAATTATTATTTAGTTTCTCTAACTGATTTTATAGAATCCAGATGATTATATGCAAATTGATGATGATTCCGACGAAATTTCTTCATGGGAAAATGAAGGTATGACTGGAAGTATAACTATAACAGTGCCACCGCTGCAACCTGTATCATTGGAAATGAGAAAATCTCACTATCTAATTTTATTAATTACATATAGTTATGCTTGGAAACGATAGGTAAGTTGATTGATATAAGTATGGTTAAACTTTTCAAATTTTAATTTTAATCATTTTACAGTGACGACAACGATGTAGTAATGGAAATAATGAAAGATGGAGAAATTTTCGAATCAGAAAACTATACTGGTCGTTCCAACTCCCTGACAGGGTTGTAAGTAAACTGAGACAAAAAATTTACGCGTCATTTTACGCGCGTTTTGTAAAATTCTATCTAATTTTATACTATTTACGAAACATTAGAGCACCAATTTCGTGAGTATCTTACATTTGATTAATTCCCTAATACAGTAGCTCTTTAAAGCAAAATTAGCCGTTATTAATATAACATGCGGAATCAGGTTTCGTATTAACTCTATTTCTACTATACCTAGGTCAAATGCTCACAAAGCTTTACGTCGGTCGAGCAGCACTCCGCAAATCGACTCTTGCGACTATACGGCAAATAAGAATTTCCGACAATGCAAAGAAACCCAAAGAAATTCTTTTAGTTTCACGAATAGCAATGCAATTGTCAACGGAACTTCAAACAAAGGAAAAGAGAAAGAAATAGGGCGAAGTTTCTTCGAGTCTAATACGGAAAAGGCGTTCGTCATCAATGTAACATCTAATAAAGGGAAGGAGAAAGTAATGGGTTTGAATTTTGTGAATTTCACTAATAATGCCAAAATTGTATTTGAAAATTCACAGAAAGGTAAAGAAAAAGAAACAGAGAGAGATTGCTTAAGTTTCGATCATAATAATGCCATTATGAATGGAAAAGAAACGGAGAGAATTTGTGCTAGTTTCACTAGTGAAAATGGCATTATTTCCAGCAATACCAAAAATGTAGGAGAATTTTTGCCACCACAACCATCCTCTACTATTAAATCAATCCTAAAGAACAAAGAAAAAGAAAAGGAACCACCTGTCGAAAATGCTGAGCTTAATCAAATGCAATTGGAACAGCCACGAAAATTTGGTTCAAATGAAGCTAACGAAGCCTTGTCAGGAATAGTGTTGCCAGCTGCAGAATTGGATAAGATTATTAAAGCCAAATGTGGGCAACTGCAATTATCCACAAAAAACCGGATAATGAAAGCAAACGAGAAATTTTTCAATGATGCAGTAAATACGGATTCCGAAATTCGGTAAATCTGTTTTATATTTGGAATATAGTCTAATTTATGATTTATTTATGAAATATTTATTATAAAGCGTGGATGAATGGCGAGGAAACCTTGTAAGAGGCGAACTGGTTCAAAATTTGGCCGAAGTAATAGTAAAGCCAATGAAGAATCGCTGCCCTGATGCATCATTTTTGTGAGTAAACTACTATAATTATCACAAAGTAAATTTCCTTCACTATACAAATAATCTCTTCACGCTTATTCTAATAGAAAAGATTGCCAGAATATGGATAGACTTGTACTATCTAAGGTTTTGCCACTGCATTATGTCGAATTACTTTTCAAAGAGACCACACCAGATATGTTTCAGCTTTCAATGTTCACAATGGAAGCACCTGAAGATAACAAGAAATCCATGAAAATGTTGGAGATTGAATCTGCTATGCTTAAATGGAATGAGATGGTGAGAAATTTTTTTTGTTTTTAAATTTAATTGTTTAACAAACAAATTTAATTCATGATTAGATTGGATTAATATACTTGGACAAAGAAGAAACTAAATGCTGGATGGTCATTCACACTTCAACGAGAACCACAGAATTCTTTCGATTAGGAGAAAGACCTCCTTGCCCATTCTTCATTATCTCAAAAACAATTTCTATACCAAAGTTGCCCCGTGTCACCCCCAAAGATACAGATAGAGAATTCTTCATGTCACAAAATCTTCATGATCCAGACATGTACATGGCTGGCGTTTTATCAATTGCATCTGAAAAAGGCGACGAATTTCGCACTATATGCGCGAATAAACCAAAATTTATGGTGTTTGGTCCGGATGATCTTGCAGAAATACAAGAAATCACCAGCGCACTGAAAGCTTTTGGTGGGATAGAATGCGCCGATCAATCAAACGAAGACATTACCGTCGTTTTTGTACGTATTTGTTCTTTTGCGAATTTTTTTTTGGTTAGAGATATGAATATTATTTTTTTTTGTTATTAGGTCCATTTATCAATGCGAAAACAAATATTTTTCATAGACAATTTCAATGCGATAAAAAGAAAAAATTCATGCCGCTTCTACCAATTTGGTTGGAGTCTTGAAAGTGGTCTCTATGTATTAGAAGAGATATTAAAATCAGGCAAGTATTCAAGTATAATTGATATTGTTAATTAGAAAATGATCATTTAGTACTTTGTTTTCTCTTATTGTGTAGGAGGTATTATTACGTTTACCAAGGAAGTATTACGCACTAAACCTAATAGTACTGCTCATGCCAACGAAGTCGTCTCGCAAGTAAGCATTTTATCATTAATGATAACATTTTTTGATACTATTATCCTGGATTAATTTATAATTTTTTAGCGAAGATTCGTGAATCCTACTGAAAATTGGAAATTGGTACTAGTGCCTCAAATGCACAATGAGCTAGCGGCATTCGAGAATGAGTGGAAATTAATGTATCCAAAGTAAATTTCAAAATAATTGCCATTCTTCTATTTAGTTTATTAGATTGATTATAGAGATTTTTAATGATCAGTAGTCCGATTCGAACGCCGTATCAAAAGATTTATGATCTATTGACAAAACAAAAGATTCGATATTTGGACGATCAGGAATTGGGGCCAGTAAATATTTTTTAGTATTCAATTTTTTGAAGTTACTGTATTTCGATTTGATTTCTAATTCGTTTTGTTTAGTATGGAACCGCATGTGATTTCAAAACCCTCTATAAAACCATGTTACGATTGCATACATTGTATGCGCAAGATCATCGACACTTTGTTATTGTGGCTGATACTAGTGAAATCGAATTAATGCAAAAATGTCCAATACAAGGGGTGAGTTTATTGCCAGTATTTTTAATGTCCACTCGAAATTTACTATTTCATTCACAATTGACTAATCGTAATTAATAGGTTGAGATTTTTTCGGATGAAGATTTCATCGCACGGTTTTGCTATGCATCAAGAATAGTATTGTAACGATGAGCTTTTCAACAATTCAGGATGCGATTTAAATAACACTAAATCTAAATTTAATGTCACGAAAATATATTCTTTTTTAGTTTTACATAAAAACTCGTTTAAATTTATTAGGGAAATTTCCACACATTTAATTTTACATGTACATGTATCATTTCATGTGTATACAATTAATTAATTTGTTATACATGACAAACATACCAATAAGCATTATAAAGTTATTATTTCCAGCTCCAATTTATTGCATACTGTCCAATGTTACCACCATTTCCACCAATACCTACACCATCTCCACCTGCACCAACACTATCAACGACAATACCATTACCATTGGAGATACCAGTTCCACCGATACCAGTACCGTCACCACCATTAGCGTTCGCGTATTGATTATTGGTTTGGTAAGTGTTTACGTAAGGCCAATATGGATAATATGGATTGGGCATTGGATAGGAAATATATATGGGTATTGCGTCAGATGAAGCAATGAGGCAGATCGCCAAGAACAGAGCGAGACCAACGACTTTGTTAAATGTAGTCATGATTATTTTTTATTCAGTTTCTTCTTTGGTGATTTCGAATTGTTGTTATTTCGAAAGGTGAAGAATGAAAATTTGGGAAAGCGAACTTTTCTTTTTATAAGAAAGTTTGTGTTAAGTATCGGTATAATAGAAATGGTAATTGTATTGCTCACAGCCAATACAATATAAGTCTCGATATGGTTGGTGTAAATACATAGATTCACATAGCGATAGAGAAATGATCAATGAATATACATGTACTTGGAATGGCAGCAGAAAAGGCATTCAATGTCATTTCGAAATCCATTTTCGTGTAGTTCCAAAGCAACACGTCAAAACTATTAATTAATTGGCAAAAAATGATGTATCATTATGTATATAAAGATTTCATTCAAAGATTCATGAAAGAAAATCTGATTTACATACTATGTTCTTTGAATTGCATAAATAGTTTTGAAATGGCAAAAAGAGTGGAGGAAATTCTTTGAAATAGTAAGTACGTACAAGAAAGCGATACTGTTATTAGTAAAGCTTATGATTTTTGGTTTTTTGTTACGTACTTGTTTTGCATTTTCACATTACATGTACATGCACTTGCTTCGGATTAAACGTAAAAAGTTAATATAGTTGTGTTGTTATATCTAATTGGTTGCGTAACCTTAAATTTAATTTGATTGGGTTGTATGACCTTCGGTTTAAATGTGAAATTCTTGATATCGATATAGTTGGTCTTCGGATTAACGAGTTTCACCATGTATCGGTATCGGTATTGTTGCAAGTGGATCGTAATTAGGCGTAATTAACGATTTTACCTACAACATTTGAGGGGGAAGAGTGTATGGACTGATTTGTACTCGTTCGTTATCTAGTTCCTGTGCCGATATCTACGGATATCGTCGGGTTTAGTAATATTAAAGGGGCTTTACAAGGATTTGTATTTAGGTAAGGGAATTTTGGGAGATTTGGTTTTCTTTAATTTTAAGTAACAGGTTACCTTCTATTAACAATAATGACGATTGCTTTTTCTAGACAAAAGCCTTAAACTATTCTACACAATGCGTTTTATTATCAATCAATATGCAGTTTAATCAACAACAATGCCTTTTCTGGATCAAGGACCTAACCGTTAATCGTTTCAATCTTTTAACAAGCTATACTGTGGGGTGAAAGAATTGCACAATTATTTCATTTTACAAGAATTATGTTACTTGGAGAAGAATTGTACACAATTAATTCTGCATTTTATTGACATCCATGAGGACATATATACATTTTGATTTTTACATTGTAGAGTAAGAGTATTGCTCTAGATTCTATTACTATGTATATTATTGATAAGAGAGAACTTTTTAAGAAAAAGGAAATAAAGTAAAATTAATCAAAAACGAAATCATGATTATAATCATGTGTGGGAGTGAAAGTGAGGTGAAATAATGAGAAACGGAAAACGAATCCGAATAAAAGTGGAAAATTGGTGGCGAAGTCGAAAGTGAAAAACGTGAAGATGCTGATCTAAAGATCAGTCAATAACGAACAACAGATGATAACGAAAGCGAAAAAAGATAAAATGAGTAATGAAAAATGAGTTGTCAATCAAATGTGAAAGTGAAAAATGTAAACACAAAGAAAAAGGCAGATAAAAGCGAGAAACGGAGAAACAATCAAAAGCAAAAAATGTGTATATAGATTTTGTAAACGAATTACTTTTTTTGGAAAGAGGAAAACAGGAGTCAATTTAAAATAGGAAGGATGGGACCTTACACTAAGGAGCTCGAATAATCGAAATGACTTGTTGGGATCAGGACGAACGGGCTCCTTCAGAAATCACGAGATCAATGAAATTTGTTACACTTCAGTAACAGTATATAATCTGTAATTTTATTGGATAATTATCATGTAATCAAACTTTTTGAATTTGAGACTGTGATCATGTGATTTGATGCGACTAGGTGTATGCACTGTAAATGATAATTCTTCGTGAAATGGCGTGAAATGACATATGTAGTAGAACAAGTTATCAGTAATATTGATCGATATGTCATCAGCGAAACGGAGTGATACATATCAGCATTTTGGTTGGAGTTAGTTAAATATAAATTCTGAATATAACAATAGATTATTTAATAAATAATTTATTTGATATGATTAAGCATTTTGGTATGACCAATTTTTAACCATATCATGCTGATATCATATCAAAATGTTCAACTACACCATACTTAAATCGGTGAAACGAGGTGTTCTCATCCCAAGCATTTCAATCACTATAACAGAAATGCATTTTTATCCTCCCATAGAAAAAAATTTGAAAGATATGAAATTATCATGTAAAGAGAATATGAGAATGTTTAAATCGGATAGCAACATACAATATAATAAGTATCAGTAAGTTGCAATGCAATGTGTAAACTTTTATTGAAAATTTTATAAAATTAAGTGAGTCTACTAGTTTGTTCTTTGAGATAAAAAGTATGGTTTTAAGGCTTTTGTGATTGAAATTTCTTTCGAATACCGTTTAGCACTGTATATAATATCCAGGGTCTTATTCAAAAATTGTAGTTTATAAATTAAATAAGTACGTATTGTGTATGAAACCGGATATTATATTTGTAGTAATATATAGTCTACAGATGGTATTGTATAGAGAACTTTATATAGTATCTACATAATCATGCGTGATATTATTATTGGGGATACTATATACAGTGCTAAACGGTGACTATTATGTATTCGGTCTGATTTTTTCATTTGTTTAACGATAATAATAAGTCATTACGATTATGTATTACATGTACATGTATTTAGTATTCATTTTTTAGTTATTACGTATGTCGATATGTCGTTGTGCAGAGATTATTGCTTGAAAATTTAGATTTCATCTTTGGAGTTTCCTTTATAAATATTATTTAAAATGCTTTAGTTAACGTTAATACAACTGAATCTCGTTATAAGGCAACTCAATAAAATGTCCATATCAATATTAAATAAAATATACTATCGCATCTTCATTATAAGAAAGAATTATAGCCGACCTGACCACTTTCTTATAACGGAGTCAATTGTAATCTATTATGGAAAAATTTTTCATACTTAATAATATGTGAATGTATATGTATACAATTTTGTTCTTAGAACGTCGTCTCTATTGACATTAACAATAAGCGAAAATTATTCTCGCATGTTTCTTAAAAAAATTGTAATTACAATGGTAAACTCGATAAGCTGAAGTGATCAGGACTATTAGTAGAAAATTTGAAAAATTCATTTTATATAGATTTATTTGGTAAATTCAGTTTATTACCGTAATTAACCATACAGAGTACGTTAAATTCTACCGTGTTAATTTCTTGATTTGTATCCCGGAATATATTGAAAGGCAATGGATATATTAAGTTTGGGTTTGTGTTTGGATTAGGAGGTTATGATAGGTATTTTATATGAAGCATTGATCAACACCGACATTAATCACAGGTTGCAAAAGCTTTTGATAAGCAAATTATTTAAATGCAGAGATTTTAATCTTTATTCTCATGTACTTTATTAACTAATATTACTAATAATATTAATCGCATCGATTAATATTTATATGGAGAAGTTTAAAATGATGTGCTATGGCAAAAGTTTCACTAATTCAGCAAATGTTAAAATTCAAAAATGCACGTAAAAAGCTAGCCATACTTATTTGTCTCGATTATAATAATGAAATAGTCGATTATAAAAATTTATGGAGTTAGATAGAATTAATAAAGAGAATATTCACTGGTCGAAAAGATTTACCTGGGCAATATTGAGGCAAATAATGATAAGTGGCATTTTACACTATTATTAACCTTGTAAAAAAGCATAATTTTCGACTAGTGATTGGATTATTATGAATATCATCAGCGTTAGGTAAAGTTTTATTGTTATATTTATATAGATCTGTGTATGCTGCATTTTACTTTATTCTGTATGGAAAATTGCAGTACTACTGGAACCAACTTCAGACCTTGATTAAAATTTTAGCATCATTTAGTGTTAGTATTAGCGTTAGCGTTAGTGTTAGTGATTGGCAAATGCCACGCTATTCACGTCAAAGCGGACATATTGGGTTGAAAGAATCAATAAAATGTTCCATCCAATAGGGTTTAACTGAATGTAATGATTTATGGTTATTATTGAGTGAAATTTATTCCTTTCTCAAAAGAGCGACAAGAAATCATCGAGCGCGAGAAACTAGGAACTAATCAAAGCAGTGGCCAAATTATCCAGTTAAGAGGAAAAAGCCATCCATATCATTATGAAGTCTATTCTAACAAATTGAGGAGTAATTAAAAAAGCGTGGAACAAGAAACGATGAAAATAAAACACGGGAAGAAACTGTGGCACTACTATAAATTATTTCTCCAATTTTTCGATTTCCAGATGCTAAAGAACGCAGCCACCAAGTTTGGTGAGCATGTATAATTTACTTAATGGATACATACATGTACTCGAACTCCTTTTGCTCAGTGATCAAAGGTGTCGCGATTTCCTTCATTCTTTTTACTATTTATGCCATTTCAAAGAATTTCCTCCATTCCCTTTACTATTATGCAATTCAAAGAACATAGTATGTAAATTAAATTTCTTTCATGAATCTTTGAATGAAATCTTTATATACATAACTACACATTCATTTGTGCCAATTAATATTTGACGCGTTACTTTGGAACTACAAGAAAATGGATTACTGCGACTGGCGAAATGTCATTGAATGCCTTTCCTGCTGCCATTCTTAGTATTTTCATTGATCATCTCTATTAGCGTTATGTGAATCTATGCTCATTTCTCTATTACATGTACATGTACTAATACATGTATTGTTATGTGAATCTATAATCATTTCTCTATTATCATTACGTATGTATGTACATTAACCATATCTTTATTATACTGTTACACCGGTAACACAGTCTCCTTTTAGAAACGCATTGTTTTTTTTGTACATGTATTTCTTTATTTGTGTCAATCAATTCAAATTACGTACACCGCCAATTACA